GCTGTGTCTCTCTCTATCAAATAAATAAATAAAATCTTAAAAAAAACCCACTTAATATCATATCATTAACATTCAATTTTGCTTCACAGAATGGATAATTGTCATTTTAATAGCTATGTAGTATTCTATCGAGCAGCTGTACCATTAATTGTTTCAGAATTCCTCTATTTCCAGGGGCTGCTCCAGGGTCTCAAGCCTGCTCCGAGATCAGCGGTGTTGCCACTTTTCCTTCTGCCCCGAAGTGCCACCGCCTGCCACTGTCTTGTCTGGGCTCCCTGGCTTGAAACAGCCTCTTCTTCAGCTTCCAGACCTATGAAAAAAGTCCATGACACAGAAAATCGTTGTGCACAATAAATTTAATCCCTCAGTTTCTGAATAAATGAGGGAGAGTCTAACTGTGCAGACTGGAATCGCTCAAGGTGAATATTTAACATTTTCAGCCATCTCAGCCATCAGGAATTTATCCCGGGCCAGCTCTCCAGTGCTTATCCCCACATGAAGTCCTCTGCTTTGTCTAGAACCTTCCTCACATCCCCTTTCTTCTAGGATCCTAATAATCTCTTGGAGTTTTTATTCCATTGAGCGTTGACTACTCTTTATGTATGTCCAATCCGCCCCACCCCCACCCCACCTCCAAATGCCCACAGGTGCTTCTGATAAACGCTACTCCAATACTGGTTTGGGCTGTGGGAATGCAGATTTCACTGAGAGAAACCTTCCAGAAGCACCACCTGTCATGTCAGGTGTGTGTGGAGAGCGGCAGGGTGGAGACAGTTTGGTGAATAAGACAAAAAGCCTTCCTCTTTCCCCAAAGATATGGAAAACATTTTCCAGAAACTGCACAGAATTGAGACGTAAAGGATGCAAAGGAGACTGGGCTGTCTTTGGTCTTGCGTCCTCTTTTAAGAGCAAGGAAAATCTCATAATTCGGCCCCCATCCCTATTCCCAGCAGGCTTTCATGACTCTTCAGCTTGAAAAGCATGACATACCCATGCCAAGAACCATCAGAGCATAGGGGATGGGATTATCATGATTGGCTAAAATTTACGAAGATTCACAACCTGGGATATAGAATCTGTGAGCT